TTCTAGTGCTTTGTCTAAAATGTCCTCCCCTTGCACACTTAAATGCACTGCTTCATACAGACTTAATATACCTTCGAGATCGTCTTCAAATGAGTGTATTAAATTGCCTTTATTGTCCATGAATTCGTCGAACACACCTGCAATCATAATTGGATTGTTTGATTATCAATATATTCTTATAATATTTTTTTTCTTCTAATCAACATAGAGAGAGATTTTAATCATGAGTACTTACTACATGAGAGATTGTAACCATGTTGTCTTAGCAATCGAAATCGAAGAGATACAACACGTAGATCATCATCTTTGTGGTCGTAGTACTCCAATGCATGTATGTTTCGCAGTGACGTGTCGATTTCTTTCTCAAAATGGTAATCCACTCCAAGGCGTTGGATTGTATTGATAAGGTCTAACTTGCACAATGAATCATCTGGCGTGTGGACTAGCAAATCTTTCACTCTCTCTTTTTGTCTTTCAAGTTCTTTATCTTCGGCTTCAGAAATTTCCTAGACATTACATAATTCAGTACGCGCGTGCATGCTTGATAACTTGTATTTGCATCTCGAATAAATAAATAAATAAAAAAAAACATTCCTAAATTAGTTGGCTATGAAAAAATATTTAATTATTGAGAAATGGGCGATATATAGTTGTACCGTTATATCTGAATTATATGAGAGAAAATGGTCTCCCCAAACGGACGGGTGAAATGTTACAGAGCGACGAACATCCTCCAAAGAAGAAACATTCTTGGGTGATGCAGGAATTGGCAATGAATGCATTGGCATTCTAAGTTTGGAAAGATTGCTTCAATATGAATCGAAAATATAACTAAGGACTTAAGGTTGTGTTTGGACAAATGGGATATGACTTGGAGCTATTTATAGAACCTATGTATATATACATACACCATTATTAGAATATCTATCATTTCAAAAGACTTTTAATTCGTACGATGTCACACTATGATTGGCCGGTAACAATACCACACCTCTCCTTAAACCCATAGATTCGACATGGCCTTTTACTGCTGTCACTTAGTTTTCTGTACAATGACCCGAGCTTGGGGGCGAATGTCGCTTGGTGTACAGTATCGTTGTGGCACCGCTGCACGGCACGACGAATGTGCCTTCCGGCGCAGTTAAGTCCTCTATATGAGTATATCAGTAAGTACACGTTTTCCTTGTTAGAATTTGCTAAACGGACTTTTGGAGGTATTTATTAAAGTCTTTGGCAATCAACACAGCTGAAGAAAATGATATTTAGTTTTTATTTCATTACTGTTTCAGTGTGAGAAATATGTGTGGTGTTACATCTGTACAATATATAAAAGAGTGGCCATTATTTTGCTCACGTTGAGATCATGTATTAGATCGAGAAAGTGATATTTTGTTGTATGTTAACTTGTTTATTTTCTTTTGATTTAATTAAAAGTTCATTTTAGCACTTAATTAATTTCGATTATTTTACATGTTCACTATACTTTTTATATTTATTTATCTATCTATCTATACTACTCTAAAAGGACGAGTGTTTTTGTAAACATATTAACTACCTAAAAAACCCTTACTTTGACACAAATTTAATGGCAAATTAATCATGTACTAATACACATCATATTTTAGATTTTTAATTAAAAAATAAACTATCTAAAAAACCTTTATTTTAACATCTTCTTAATGACAACCTAGTAATATACTAATGTCCATCATATCTTATATTTTTAATTAATAACTAATATTAATTAATTAAATACAAATACATGAACAAATCATTCCACACTCCAAAACTCAACTACAATATGTTGACACCATTATTTCTCACCAATTTGTTTTCTTCCACATATCTCTAAAATTGTTTGATAGGACAGAATTGTTGTTTTGAAAAAGTCATTATTTTTAATATAATTTTAATGGCAAAATTGTGATCGCATTTCATAACTCTAACATATAAAAGTTATTTAAAGAAATTAAAATTGATCCAACAAAAAAAACGTAATATACACCTATAAAACTAGTAATCGATATTGTTTTTTCTCATAACGACCACAAAGTATAGAAACATTATTTTCAAAATAACCTATAAAAAAATGTGTAATAGTATGCGAGATTAATTGTGGAATGATTGTTATGCAACATAAACTTCTAACCTATTCAACTTCTTTGCTACATAAGATCAGAACAATTTTATGAAATTGTGTAATACTATAACTTAATCTACTTGTTTTCACGTCGAATGAGATACCACTTTAGCAACATGGATTAGTTTTGACCATATAATTATTTACAAATTAATTAAAAATATCTTGAGGATCATGATATGCCTACATGTTGAAAATTAATACTTTTTTTATCAAAAAATTATATTCATATATTATCATTACCTATCTATCTATTAATATGTGTTATTATAATAAAATGTTATTTAAAAAAAATGTACGAAATAAAAAATTTATATATTTAAGTATAAATGAAAATATTATAATTATATTACTATAACATAAAGATATAAAATCAATTGATATAAATAAGACATGTGACTCAAAAAGTGCTTATACTTAATTTTATGTATTTTTTAACAAACCTAAAAGTTACACACACACACACATTAAAAACATGAAAGAACAATATAAAGTTAAAAAATATTAAATCTGATAAATAATATTAAATTTATAATAAAGTTGTAACGCTTACTAATAACTATGAAAACATTGTAATAAATAAAAATATTGTAATTAGTAAAAGTAATTATAGAACTTTTAAAATTTGTACTTATCGATTTAAACGAGCCAAATTGACCACCGCATGATAATTTTTTTGCGCTTATTAGTTTTGTATATAAATTTTAGATGATAAACAATAGTTATTTATGCTATTATCCATGTAGGATTGAAATTTATTTTTCTTAAAAAACTTAATTATTTTGATTTTAAATAAAGTTTTATTTGCTATTAGTTTTTTTTTAATATAATATATAAATACCATATTATATATATACAATAATACTTTTCATTATTTAATATTTAATGTGCAAGAAATGTAACTCAATTATAAATTAATAGTTAACCTTGTGATAAAATAATAAGCGATTTCTAAAAAAATTATATGGATTAAAAAGTTCACGTGTTTAATATATTTTTAATTTTTAATATATAAAGGAATTAAAAAAAAAATCCTTCCACCACCTGCAAATTTTAATATATAAAGGAATAAAAATTATAATATATAAAGGAATAAAAAAGTGGCGCACTGCAATGAAACGTAAGACATCAACTGAAAATTCCAAATGATACTTCATTTGTATAGTTTTCATTGTAAAATTTCATTGACTATTCCAACAGAGTTCAAAATACATTATATTGAAATTTTATTGGATTTAATTATTCCAATTATCATTATTATTATTGTGTGCTTTTTCTTTTGTTTTTCTTGAATTTTTTTCGGGTCCATATTTTAAAAGTTGGAAAAATAAATGTCACTGATACTGTAAAAATTTCAATTGAAGTTCTATTCGAAATCTACCTGCAGTGGTTGATACAAAATAATTTCATACTCGAGACATTAATTAGTTAATAAAAAAAGTACATCATTAAAATAACATAATGTCATTATAATTTATAATTTTTTTTTTCATAATTTGTCATATTTCTCATCTGTAATACTTGTTTAACACATCAATACAGTTACAACTAAAAAAACATAACTTTTCTCAATTCAACATAAGCAAATCATTGAAAAAATATATTTTTAAAAATTTTATGAACAAAAGTTGACTCGACAATATTATCAATGAATTTATGAATTATATATATTTAATTAAAATATTACTTAAAAATTATAATTATATATAATATAATATAGGATATACAAATAATTGATATATATTGAGACAGATGATCATAGAAAATTCTATACTTTATATTATGCCCTTTTTGAGAAATCTACAGTTAAGAACATGTGAAATAACAAGATAAAGTTTAAAAAAATATTAAATATGATAAATAATATGAAAAATAATTAAGTTGTGACACGTACTAATAGATATGAAAGAAAGTATAAACAAAAATATTATAATTAATTGAAATAAATATAAACCTTCTAAAAATATACTTATCGATGTAAACAAGTTGAGTTGTTAAATGATTGTTAATTTTTTGTCCTTATTAATTTGATGTGTAAATTTGAGGTGATAAACAATAGTTATTTGTACATTTATCCATGTAGATTAGAAAAAAAAATCTTTAATATTCTAATTTAAATAACTTTTTATTTACTATATTTGTTTTTTTTAATATAATATATAAATATCATATTAAACATATAAAACAAGAAATATTTTAATTATTTAATATTTAAATTGTACGAAATGTAACTCAATTGGTAAATTAATAGGTAATTTTGAGATAAAATAATGAGTGATTGCTGAAAAAAAATATAGGAATTAAAAACTTCATGTGTTTAATATATTTTTAATAAAAAAAAATTTATACATAATTAACCCATAATTACTACATAAAAAATTAATATTTGAGAGGACTACAAAAAATTGCTATACTGCAATGAAATAACGGAAAATTCCTCATAAATCTCCAAACCATAATTCAAGTTC